TATTCAAATAGTTTGTACTTGGTGTTTGTGAGATATATACTATTACAAGTTCCCTAGAGAAAATGAGCTATGTTTCAACACTCTTGGGTATTGTTAATTTATTGTCAGAATTAAAACAGCAATGAATCATAAAGAAACACAACTGCCGTCTTGAATATCAAATAATGTGTAGGTTTATCTATGCGCATGTAGCAAATCGCCGCTTAAGAATTTTTTTAACAACTAGGAACAAATGATTACTTTTATTGATAAAATCTGAAATTTATTGATTTAGAACAAGTTGCGTCATTAATCACCTATTGGGCATTATTAGTTATTTATTGTAAACTGTTTGCATAAACAAAAATTCAGTTGCTGTAACTGTAAAATGTGATGACAAGGAATTAGATAAATAAGAAAAGATTTTGCATTTTATTCAACACTCAACAAAAAATTCAAAAATTGAAAAAATAGGCTTTCTATTACATTCCATGCAAAAGCATGCAAAAAATAAAGAAAGAGAGAAATAAAAACAAATAAAAGAAAGAAGAGAAAAAAAAGAAAAGAAAATTATGAAATTATAAGAATCAGTCAATTTTGATAAATTTACTTAATTAAAACAAAATGTAAAGTAATTTATCGTAAACTGTTTTCACAGATAGCTTCAAAAGATCCCATCTTGCGTTATACCAACCCTACAGACAAAAATTCAGTTATGTAACTGTAACACAAGATTTATTGTAAATGTGTTGAGATAAGAAACCGTTTTGTATTATTTTATTGAAAACTAAAACATTCTTCAAAAATATTCTTGAAAATAACGCTTTTATTACATTCCAGCATTAGCATTTAAAAAAAAAAGAAAGGAAAAACAAAATTGCAAAAATAAGTAAATATTTTGAGAAACAGAATTGCAACTCTGACACATGATTTATTGTTAAATGTGTTAACAATGAATTGAAACATAATTAATTTTTTTAATTAATTAATTTAAAACTCAAAATTTCGTCAAAAATTAGCTTTGGGTACAACAAAACATAATAACATCAATAGAAGGAAAAAAAAGGAAAAAAAAAAGAAAAAAAAAGTTCAAAAAGAAAGTTGTAAAAATTAGTCAAAATTTTGAGCTTGAGTTGTCTTTTATTATAAATGTGTTCGCAATGAATTTTTTTTTTCGCAATGAATAATTTTTTGTGTGCCTACGGATCTAATAAAGCGCAAATAAGAAACAATTTTTTATATTATTCAAAAAATTTGTTCAAAATTCTTTCGAAAACAAGGCTTTTAAGACATTCCAGCATGCAGAAATAATATCGATAAAACAAAGAAGGAAAATAGAAAAGGAAAGAAAAAAGGAAGAGAAAAAAAAAGAAAATTATGAAATTACAACTGGTCTACAACACAAATAAAAAAACATTTTGTTTTTCATTTAAATCTTAACAATTTTTCAAAAATAGGCTTAGACACAGCGCTTTTAATACATACAAAAAATAATAACATTAAAAAAACTTAAGAGAAACGAAACAGAAGGAAAAAAGTAAGAACAAAAAAAAGAAGAAAAAAAGAAAAAATTGTTCATACTTTTATCACATTCCAGCATGCAAAAGTAATATCATTAAAACAAAGAAAGAAAAAATAAAGAGAAAAAAAAACCATATTCAATCCTCGAATATGGTTCGATAATCTGGAATTCGCATTACAAAATTCATGTTGGTAGGCTTGAAACAATACAGTCAATACAGTTTAAGTTTTTTAAATATATAAAATGGTTGCTGCCTTATTATGTGCAAGATGATTATAATATTTCATTAAATTATTTGTCTCTCTCTACACTTGAAATTAGAAGAAGATATCAGGCTTTATGTTTTGTTTATAAACTTTTAAATAATTTGATTAATGATACTTCAATACTAAATTTAATTAATTTTCACGTTCCACAGTATAATAGTAGATCAAACCAATTATTAAAAATTTTGTTTGCTCACAATAATTATCTGTTTAATTCTCCTCTAAAAGATCTTTTAAGAATTTGTAACATCTACAGTGTCAAGTTGGACTTTTTTAATTTTAAATCGTTTAATAGTTTCAAGCGTTTTCTAAAAGTTTCGTTGAGTTAGTCATTTAGTATTCTTTAATTATGTTTATATGTGATTTGTTTTCTATTATAATTTTATTATTACTTAATGTAAAGGATATTACCGTTAAATGAAGTTATTATTATTATTATTAAAAGAAAGAAACAAGAAAATCATAAAATTCAGTCAATATTTTGACAGTTGTCTTTTAATTTTGTTGACAAATTTCCTTTAATTGTAAGACAAAACTAAAGAAAAAAATATGAAACCGCTTTGTATTTTATTTATAACTGAAAAATTTGTCAAAATAGGCTTGAGCACAGCACTTTTATTATACTCCAGCAAAAAAAATATGACATTAAAGAAACTAAAGAAAAAAGAAAGAAGAAAAGGAAAAAGAAATTATATAATGTAGATGTATTTCCAGTAAATTTAAGCATAATTTTCCGTGTTATCTGTTGCTCTAAAATAGCGCAAATAAAAAAACCATTTTGTATTTTTTTAAAACTCAAAAATTTTTCAAATTTTTTTTTAAAAAAAGACTAGAACACAGAGATTTTACTGCATTCCAGCATGCAATAATAACAACCGAAAAAAAATTAAGTAAAAAAAATAACTAGGTACCGGAAAATAAAAAAGAAATGTTTATAATTGTTTTTAATTTTTGTAAATAGAGTTGATGATGGTAGCCTGAAACGTCCCAAGAATTGTAAAGGTATTTTTAATATGGAATCTGAAAGCCAGTTTGGAAAAAAGAAATGAGAAAACAGAAAAAGTCAAAAACAAAACAAAATTCTGAAATTATAAAAATCAGTTAATATTTAAAAAAATAGTTGACTTTTAATTAACTCTGACTAAAAACTAAAACAAAATGTATTACCGAAATGATTAATTTTGAGACTTCATTGAAATCAAATGTTAAAAAAAAAATTAAAAAAATCACGACTACATGTAGAGTCCCAGAATTTATTATTAATTATGTGATTTTTCGGCTTATTTTTGACGAAGTTTTGTACTTTTGATTAAAAAATCTGCTAAAACGTTTGGAAAAGCAACCAGATGATTTTTCTTTCGGCTCAAAAACATGCTTAAACTCTCCAAAGAAGCAAAAATAATTTTAGTTTCGTGATAGTTTATTCATTTTTTATCTCATTTTCGACGAAAATTTTCAAAACAATTGCGAATCTGACTAAAAAACGTCCTAAAACGGAAAAATGGTATTATTTTTGAACAAAGTTTTTAGCACAATCTTAAAAAGTGTTTGTGACGAAATAATTTTGTTAATTTTTAATTGAAAAACGTGGTAAAACGCCCAAAAAATCATAAAAAGATCATTTTAATTTTTCAATATGTTTTAACAGAATCTTACAAAAAAACGTGATGTAAACAAGCAAAAGTCATTATTTTTCACTTAATTTGGTGACTTTTCGATGTATTTTTGTCTAAACATTTCGTTTAACGTCTCTTATTGAAAAATATGGTATTCATATTTAAAACCGTTTTCGAAAAGTCGATGAACTAGCTTCAAAATTACATCTAGTAAACAAGAAAAAAATTTTTTAAATGAGAATGTTAATTTTCGGGACAGAATAAAGTGGACTTTTTTTATATTGTGTCGTTAGAATTTCATTTATAAATGTTTCGTTAAACTTGAAATATTTTTATAAAGCAATAGTTATCACAAAGTTTATATTGGAAAATAAAGCTTGTTTTTTGGTACATAACACTTTAATCAATTTTTTAATAATATAAACTAATGCATTATATTAGATTACATACAGGGTGAATATAAAGTATGGAACCAAGCGGTTTTATTTTTAATCATTTTCCTCCAAAAAATAATAATTAATATAAATTAAAATAATATAAAAAAATGTGATCGTATTTTCAGAACGAAATTTTGTTTTGTTTTCGAGTTATGCGATTTTTTTTGTCAAAATTGCAATTTATGTGAAAAATTTTTCTTTTTAAATTTAATATGAAGCAGATAGTTGTAATCCTTAGAGGATAGCTTTTATGAGAAAAAAGATTTTATAGTGGGTTGCCATTTAAAAAAATATTTTTTTTTGTAGAACTCAAAAACAAAAGGAAATTTTGAAAAATTTTATTCTTGTGGAAACATCACATTTCAATAGTACTTTACCACTCATCAATTAGTTTTTTCAAAAAATAAATAGTTTAAGCAAAAAATGTTTGGTTCCATACTTTTTATTTACCTGGTATATCATGCGATTTTTTTACCAAAAACAAATTGGAAAAAAGTACCAGCAAATTATATTAAAATGCTTATAACCCCAAATATAGATATATTGAAAAACACCAAAAATTGTTTAACTGCCTAAATGTCATGAATAATAAAACTACCAAAATATCAAAATTAAGTGATTAACAGATAACTGGGTCAGTTGATAAGTGGTTGCAAAATGTCCCCCATAGCCAATATTCTAGTGTGTCCCACTTCCAAATTGAAGAATTAGATTTGATCAATGTGATTAATGACAGATCATTGATCTTACGGAACAAGCTTGACTCTAACGAGTTGTAAGGAATTCCTTTGTCATTTCCCACCACGAACTTTACAGTTAATTAATTGAAACAAAACCGCTTCCCATCGACAAACTATCAGTCATTCAAGTATGAAATTCGATGGCGTGTCGGTTATTTCTTTAATAAATCTGAATTTATGATTCGTTTGAGTACCACAGGTCGCACGCCGCTGCTATTCAAATTGAAGTGGAACGCGACACACTTTACACAGAGCGGGGGGCTCCGGGGGGGCACCAACTATGCGGACATGCTTCCTACATTGACGGACGTGGTGCGCAAACGAGGACATCATCTAGGAGACTCTACCCCCCACCACAACCGACACACATCCCCCAGGTGCACAAAAACACAAATTTTTAAGAATTTTTCATATTAAAAATAATGGTGTCATAATACAACATACTTATTAACATAATCAACAATAAAATAATAACAATAATTAATTTAAGGGGCTAGAGGCTACTTAAAATTATTTGTTTACTGCACTTAGTCTAAATACATACAAATTTACTTGTCGTCAAGCTGTGTCATTTAATACAAATATTTTTACTTATTTTCTGATTATCACATAATCAAACTATTTTTAATAAAACGTCTTTCAGGGGCTACAAATGCGATGCGACAAACCCGAAATCACAATTGCTAGGTGCAAAGCAACTTTCTGTTAGAAAAACTGAGATCTATTATACAGAGTGCTTATAAATGATTGTCATCCAGCCATTTATTTGTGCCGCTCTACTTTTTTGTAATAATAAATCATTGTTAATTTTGAGTTAGATGAAAATCATTTATAAGCACTTTGTACGTTGGTCCAGAAGATACGAAAGGGCAGAAAGGGAGCTACATACAATAGGGTTCGTTGTCAATTAGGTAAATCCACAATACAATTAAATATTTTGTAAAAATACAAATACTTAATTACTTAAATATTAAGTATCTTATTTTTTATCACAAGAAGTGCCATTAAAGAGGACCTGAGAAATCTTGAACAATTTTACTCAACTCAAATACAACAAAATAAGGTTAGTATAAATAAATAAGACAGAGGAGAGATTATAATACAATAAAATAAATAAAAAACATATACCACACAATGCGCATTATAAAAATAAATAATAAAATAGGATTAAGAAAGCCACCGAAAAGTGAACTGTGATATTCCTATAAGAACTCGTTGTTGTTTGCACCGGCTCACTAGATGAAATTGCACATTGTCCATAATAGGAATATTGAGGTACCTTTTTTATAGCACGTTTGGAATCGACGGGCCAACCAGCAAAAAATTGTCAAAATGGCAAGAAACTTGTGAATTTTTGCTCATTGGCCTCAATCGCGTCCAATCCTCTTATGTATCTGTTGGTGTTTCAACAAGTGTGCTTTTTGTCGAAAGGCCTTCGCGCAAGTATCGCATCTAAACGGTTTCTCTCCCGTGTGAGTCCTCAAATGCACCTTAATATTGGACTTGTTGAGGAACCCCCGATTACAAATACTACATCTATGAACCGGCTTCTCCTTCCCCAACAAGCCCAAATTCTGCTCATTTTGGAACACCGTCGTGCTGGCTTGCGCTTGCTTCTTCTGCGCGCGACTCCTCGACTTCTTGGGGGCGTTGGGGGTGTTGGTGGTCGTGGTATGGGGGTAATTCTGCCCCAGGAGATCGGGACTCCTAATACGGTCCATTTGTACCCCATATTGGGGCATAAAACGCCCATTGACAGTCAATAGGAGATTATCGGTGGTGGAGACGACATTAGCTGGAGGACTCGAGGTCGTGATTAAATCACTCGAGAAGTTGGTCGAGCTGGGGGCTTCCTGCTTGATGGGGGGGCCGTTTTGGAGCCGGTTCTGCAGCAGCGGCATGTATCCGTGCGTGAGAAGCGTCTGTAAAGTGGAGCCCCCTTGTTGGGGTTGGGTCACAGGAACCCCAAACTCCGAGAGACCGTCTTGGGTGATGATGAGGTTCTTCTGCTCCCCGCAGGTCTCACCGATGAAGGCGTCGATGTCCATCCAGCTGTCTCTGGAACCAGTGGCGTCCTCGGTTTCGGGGTTGGTGTTGGGGACGGTGGTGTCGGCCATCGCCGAACCAATGATGTTGGCAAAGTCTATGGAGATGTCATACTCGGCGATTTCCGTTTTTATGTGAGTCACTGAGTCGGCAGAAGGGTGACTACAATCCTCGTACATTTTCGCACTTGACACTGAGTCTGGATTAGCACAATCCGAGTACCCGTCAACGGAATACATTGTTTTAGCACAATCACCCGCGGAATCCGCACTCACATTACAAGTCGAACTGGAGACAATGTTCTGTTCGTTGTAAGTGTTGTAGGAGTTGTTGTTCTCCTCGGGAATCCTTTGGGATATCGTGTGGTAGTGGTGGCCTTGGATGCCGTTGATGCTGAGGTTGGCGGTGTAGCCGGTGAAAGGGGGTAGTGGCTTCAGTTCGGCTAAACTGGAGTTTGTGGGTTGGGAAGTTAGGAAGAGTTTGTCTAAAGCGTCCGTTTCGATTTCGTTATCGTCGTGACTGATTGGGGAGTCTAAGAGGAGTTTGTCGGCGCCTAGATTGCTCATTGAGCTGTCTAATGTTAAGGAATGAGTGTCGATGAAGTCGTTCTGGAGATTCATATTGGAGTTTTGCCAACATGTGGAGGTGAAGAGGGAATCGACTTCGTCAACGTGAGAGCCATTGCCGCTGACTGCCATGTTCGTGCCACCTGATACGTTGGGATATTTCATTGTTGCCATTGGAGGAGGGAGGATGAGGGATGGGGCCACCGCGAGGGGTTAATTCACGCGGCAGGGGAACAAAGGCAGCCGCATCGCTGAGGCCGGACCTGGAAAATAAAAATCTATGTTAATTTTGCTCTCGACTCAACGTGTCAATATTTTTAATTGTTATTTTCACAATGTGAAAAAGAATATTTGTCTATACATACAGAGTGCGCCAGAACTCGCGTCCCAGAGAAAACTTTCAAGTAAGATAAGATACCAAATGTGTAAAAAATTCTGTCACAAATTTTGACATTTGACACTTTTTATGTCTATTTAATGATACTGGTGAATGCTTTTTTTACAATTATTTAGTAAAGGTACAAAAATTTTGCCAATAAAAGCCACAAATAACATTGATCAGAGTTACAATTTAGTATACAGCTTCTTTGTTTCTTCTTTTAATAGCCTATAGCAAAAAAACTTGGAAAAACTTATTTTTCCAATAGAAATAAATAGAGTCAAAGTGCAAACTTTAAACCCTCATAACTTCGAAATTTTTATAGATAAAATTTTTTTAACATTTTTCCCATGTTCTTGGTATCTCACCTTATATGGCATTTTTCTCTGGGGCGCGAGTTCTGGCGCACCCTGTAGAACCAAGCGGTTTTTTTCAATTAATTGCCTCCAAAAAATAATAACTAAAAGCGTAGATATTATTTATACAAAACCGCTGAATACCTAAAAAAACAAAAAAAAAGACTAATGGCAGCAACTTTGTAACATTCAAATACTGTGTATATTACGTTATTTTTATATACATATTTTTAACTTTTCTTAAAAAAATTCTATTAGTGTGATTCAAAAAATATAAATTTGTATTATTACTCGCTATTGGCGTATTAATTACAGTATGATTAAAAAAAAATGATGTAATTTTTTGACATTTTCATCGAAACACTTCCTACAATATTGTAACAAATTCTGTTGATTTTTTGATAATAATTTCAAAAATGTTGTATTTTTGTCTCTTGAGTCCCTCAAAACTAAAACCTATTACTTTACAAATTATAAAATTACAAGAACAAAAAGTACTTATTATTTTTTTTATTGTGTATTATTGTATCCTGAGTACATAAAAATTTCCAAAAAAACCACATTAATTTACAAATTATAAAATTTAGAGATTTTTCAACTTATTTTGAAGAAATTCTTCGAAATCAGGCGTTTTTGGATAAAAAAAACGTGCTAAAACTCTTAAAATAGACAAATTATTCCATTTTCAAACAATTTTTATGATATGATTTTTCGAATTATTTTTGACGCAATTTCAAGAAATAATTGCGTTTCTTCATAAAAAACGTGCTGAACTGCTAAAAATCGAGCTATTAATATTTTTTTTGTTTTTTGACGTTTTTGCCTGAAAAAACGTGTTAAAACTCTCAAAAAATCATAAACATATTTTAAAATTGATAAACTCCTACAATTCTATTCGTTTTATTGTAATAATATCAAAAATTTTGTATTTCTGTCTCTTGAATCCACTAACATTTCTAAAATCTATAAGTATTTCTTTACAAACTGTGAAGTTACAGAATCAAAAAAATAAAAAAAATATTAGCTACTTTATTTTGCAAAAATTACATAATTTTGAACCAAAAATAAAAATTTTTTAGTATATTTTTGACAATAATTGCTTTTAACTAAAAAACGTGCTAAACAGCACAAGAAGTTAAAAATAGTGATATTTTCGACACAATTTACTAACTTTTAGGCCAGGTTGAGCAAAATCTAGCCAGTTTTAATCTTAAATACTTGTTTAAATTCTCAAAAAAGCCAAAAAATAACACCAAATTAGATCAGTTTTCAGCTTATGTCTAAAGAAACTCCTCGAAATAATGTTTATGGCCAAAAGGCGTGTTAAAACTCTGAAAAAAAGACAAAAATGATGTCAATTCTAGCCTAATTTGATGACATTTAGGACAAAATTTCGCAAAATAATTGCGTTTCTGACAAAAACGTCAAATTCTGTTGATTTGTTGATAAATTGATAATAGTATCAAAAATTTTGTATTTTTGTCTCTTAATTGCATCAAAATTTCTAAAATCGACATTTAGAAAATTTCCTCAAATTTATGGGGTTTTTGACCGAAAAACATGCTAAAACTCATAAAAATTAAAATTTTTATAGAAGTCAAAAACAATCAAATTTCGAAAAATTAGTCATTTAGTTTTTCCAAAAAATAAATAGTTTAAGCAAAAATGCCTGGTTCCATACTTTTTATTCACCTGGTATGAAATAAAAAAAGACAAATTATGTTTTTTTATTTTTTTAACAGACTTTTAAATTATTATTATATTTAATGAAAATGGATTCAGTTAATTTATTTCTTTTTAGTCAGAAACTAAGGAAAATTTTTAATTTTGCAATTCGGCGTATAATTAATTAATAAATCAGTCAAAATTAAATTTCAGATTCAGAAAAAAATTATAAAGAACTAAGTACGAAGTAATTAAAACATACACTAAAAATATGTTAATTTGTCTAAAAAAAATGTGTCGAAAGTAAAATAAAAATTATATAACAACAAAAATAAAGTTCAAGCAGATGAAAGTTACGGTTTGGTTGATGATAACACAGATATTACAACCTATTCAGAAAAAAATATTTTTATTTCAATTTAAAAAAACTGCTAAAAAGTTCAGAATATTTGTCATGAAAAAACTCCCCAGCTTCAAATTTTGATAAAATTTGTGACTTGGGGAAAAAATGACAAAGGTAAAGTAGCTGATTTGAAATTAAAATTTTCGAAATTTGTCCTGTATAATGTTTCGAATTAAAAAGTAATTTTATTTTTAGACGGCAACTCTCAATTTCCATTTAATGCCAATAATTTAACTTTAGCAGAAGCCATTGCAACTATTATTTTACTATTTTATTTTATTATTAAAATGTAATAAGAGATTCCAAATTATTTTTCGGTTGCCATTACTTGGTTTTGCTCACGTCTCCCACAACCCCAAAATTTAATTATTTTTTGGTCAAAATCCCCTTAATTTCTTATAATTACGGAAACGACAGACTTTAATAGGTGTTGCGTAGTGAGTATTCAACCAACCAAAACGGACTTATTGAGGCCTTGTTTACACAAGTGCTAAATCAGGTAGTATGAAGCTGACTTTTATGCACATTCTTGTGAGGATAATCAAAAAATCGCCTAAATCCATTTCAATTTTAACGGTGATTCCGATTAAGTGTTGCGAATGTCTTATGTAACCATTGTTTGTAAATAAGTGCCAGTCAATGGCCCAAACAGGATTTTAACAAAATCTCATCGAAGATGACGTTTTTGGTGGCCTAGATGTTGAATTTTAGATAGGCATTGTATGTTAAATTATTCAATTGAATTTTAATGGGTACGTATCGAATATGAATAACGTTGTGTACCTACCTATCAGAGAATTTACGATTAAGGAACGGCTAATACGAGGCTTTTTGTTGCTTTGTTAAAATAAAAATAAAAACTAAAATGTTTTATGTGCCACTCAATAAATAAATTTTTATTAAAAGTCAAAAGAATGCAGTTGAATCGGTTAGTTTCAAAAACAAAAATTTTAAGATCATGTTCTTTTCAGAAATTACTGTTGTGTTCTTAATTGATATTTACATAAATAAAATAATGAAGTATTTCATACATTTCATCAAACTGTTGTAATAACATTTTTGAAAAATTTACATATTTGCTAGAAAAACTATCCTAGTACCTTTTTTACTGAAAAAAATTTTAGAAATTTTTATTGCTTAGCATATGAGATTTCTTTAGTTTTAGTTCATGACCTACACTGGTCATAACTTTTTTTAATTAATCAAGAGGTGATTTTGTAAATTTTCAATTTTTTTTTATCAAAATCTGTTAAAATCATAAAACAAAAAAGTCTCAACGAAACCATTCAGAAATGCTAAATTTGTTTTACAATTTGTGTGTAAAAAATGCTACAAAGCTCCAAAAATATCATTTTTTACCAAAGCTTTATTAAGTTAAAACAAAGCAATTACCTCAACAAAATTAAAAAATGACCGATTACTTTAAAAGACAGATTTGAAAACCGAAAACCATATTCAGAATGCTCTCCTCCAGCAACACAATGCATTTTTTACTTTGTGTTGGCTTAAAGAAATTTTGAGAAATTTTTTAAACCTAATTATTTTTTTAATTGAGTCCCAAGAAATTCAGCAATTTTTTTTCAACTTACTTTTGATGCTATATAGGGGCGAATTTAAAGAGGGGGTGACCACCCCGCAAGCCCTTTACAAAACATACAACCCAAAACATAATATTGAAAATATACAGTGTGAATTATGTAAAACGTCCCAAGCCATAATTTTATTACTTTTAAAGGCGTTGTTACAATACTTCTTTGATTAAAACTGAACAGTTTTTTGCTATTAGTCGTTTGTTTGTCTTATGTAAAATAAATAAAAATCTTTTTCCACGGTCTACTTTATTTAATTTAATTTTAAAATTGCCTTAGTTGCCAGTTGGTGATAAATTATTATTTTTTCACTATTTTATTTAAAAAACTGAAATTGATGTTAGTTTTGCTAAAACAGAAAGCAGCATCTATTCAGCAAAACTATAGTTTTTGGGTAAAAATCCATCATTAGTGTAATAATAATATTAACTCAATTTTAAAAAACTAATAGAATTTACATTGTTAGTAAAATTTTTAATGAAAATCAAAAGTAATTAGAATTAGGTTATGTTTATACTTACACCGAGTGAATAAAAAATATGGAACCAAATGTTTTTGGCTTAAACGATTTATTTTTTGGAAAACCTAATTCATAAATAATAAAGTACTATTAAAATGTGATGTTTTATCAAGAATAAAATTTTCCGAAATTTTCTTTTGTTTTTGAGTTCTACAAAAAAAAATATTTTTTGAAATGGCAACCCACTATAAAACCATTTTTCACATGAAGATTATGATCTAAAGATTACAACTATCTATTTTATAATTATAATAAAAAAAATTTTTCATAAAAAAATGACAATCCAAATACGATCATATTTTTTTATATTAGTTTAATTTATATTAATTATTATTCTCTGATCTGAACTGC